CTGTTATCTAGACAGTAGACTTTAGGGATTGCGCAAATGTCTGTCTCCAGAACAATACTACACGATATTCGAACGAGTATTCGCACTATAACTCTGTGTTCAGACTCGGAAATCAGCAGGTCGACTGCTTCGTAAGTAAAAGCAGGACCATCCAGAGTATTTTAGGCTCGAGTATACTTTGGAGGAAGTCGTTTAATTTTGTGGATTCCTCCACTGAAGGGAATGAGACACACTTAAGTTTGAACCCATGGCTAACCTGTGCAGCTATACTCATTCCTCGACATCCTCAACAGACTTACCGAGCCAATTATTGGGCAGACACGCCGGGAGTAACTGAACTTCGAAATGGATACCCATTGAATTTGAAGTAAATAAACAATTTGATACCACTAACCCAGAGCGTAAGCATACTTTCGAGTTATTCAGTAACTATGACATAGAAAGGCATAGGGCTCAATCCTATCACCCGCAGGCGTTTAGGTTTCAAACAGCAAGGGCATGTGACCCTGTCAGCCTCTAAAGTTGTGCCATACTCAAGCTCATTTTCATAGGCTTTGTAAAACTGTTGTGCTATTGACATTCATGGAATTTTAATGCACGGCACAGTAACAAGCTCAAAAACAAAACAGTCAATTCTGCATTTAAGATTTACTCTGGCATTGCAACGATACCGCCGGGGACACGAAACTCAATGCTGCGATGAGGAATTGCCCTGGTAACAACGACGAGTGTTCAATTTTATCGTTAATTCAGCAGATAAATTTTGGACTGAGAAGAAAACTCGATTGCTTGGACAATATTTTTATTCGCCTGACGTTTCGACATCCGTCGCGGATTCATAATCAGAGACATGAGTAGCGGAAACAGGAATACCCGTCTATGCTAAGCGATGTTGTAGTTTAATTACCCAAGAACATATTTCGGTTTACGATACGGGCCCGCGTTTATAAAATAATGACATGGGGAAAATGCATATAGACAACGGTCAGTGCGGTTATATTTCAGAAAATATACGACAGGAATCCTATTTACAAGTGAATGAGTGAAGGAACTCATTTCGCGTCTTTCGATGCCATATGTCGCATAAGTAGAGTATTGAACCTTTCGTATTTCTTTACGTCCTGTGCCAGTTCTGTCACGTACCGAAGAGTCTAAGTTTGCATGAAAATTACACAAATGTTTGCCCACATGTTCATTGTCAGTGGCCTTAACTACCATTTTCTGATTCTTATGCTGATATTTCGTCAAAAGTCGAAACTAAAACAAAATAAGGCATATTATTTTTTACTTTGTAAGGATTGTTTATGTAAAGCTTCTCGGCCGCACTCGCGAAGTCCTCCCATGTTGCAAAAAGCGTCATCCGTAAAACAGATTGACACGCTCCAATCCTTTTGAAATGTGCGGGGTAGATTTAATGTATTTAAATAAACACTTGGATGTGGACTTATGTATGAAATTTTCTCAAGGGTAAAATATGTTTGAGTATCATAAAAATTTTATTTATAATCAACAACCCGGTAAAAAGAAAGAGGTGAGCGGGTCATGCTTCAAATAAGCCAAAAGAACGGTTGTGGTCACTACAGCTAGCAAAGTAAAAATATGTAGGCGTCATGGTTGCCTATTCGAAGAACATGTCCAAAAGTCGGAGCAGTATCGCTGCTTGAACCGACTTATTGCGGTGAAGCAGTGCCGTAGCTTATTTTTTGTTAACTATGTTGATGTAAAATAGAAGAAAATGCTCCGTGATAGGGTTGTATTGCCTACCCTGCATTAAGCGCAAATTAGCATTGCTACGACTCGTAGTATCAGGTTCTGTACACGCCGCTGGGCAGTTAATTTATTCATCTAACGCATTTCAGTTTACTGAAAAGGTCAAAAGCTGTTCATGGAAGAGAATTGTGCTTGCAGCGAAAAACTCCCAATCACTGTCTCTGGTGTTTTTCAGGAGAAAAAACTGCAGCTCGTTAACTTATTGAAATACGGGATGGGGACGGGTTGGCAAAAGTACACGGTGTGGTCATTCCCCCTTCGGTTTTGTGGATCCAACATTCTGCACCAGATAACGGCGTGTCGGCGAAATACTGCTCGCTGTCGGCTGAAGAATTAGCCGACTGCAGGCTGCAGAATCAAGAAAACTACCCTCAATACGAAGCTTGGCACAAGATACATTGTCTGTGAACGCCATGAGAGCGGAACAGAGACTGCCTTGAGTCAGCTCCAGAATTCGTGAACGTAGTCCTGAATGTATAAAACTAGCGATAACTTTTTCTAAGTTGTAGTGTCGACAAGCTAAATGATCCCCAAATCACAAGTCAAGGAAGAAGGTGTTGATAGAGAGGGATTTACTGCAGGAAAATACACGGCAAAAGGGCCTTCGAATGAACAATCTGCCAGCTGAGTGTGCACGCTAAATGTTTCTGCGAAGTTGTTACCTGCCGTTTCGAAGCCCTGAGTGTGGAGTGTATCCTAAGGCAATTAGGCGGCACTGTGCGCATCGATTGG